TCCTGACAAGGCTGGACTGAGATTAAAGAGCAACTCCAGCTAGAAAGAATACCAACCCATGTCTGTAGCCACCCTCACATCTGCAGGAATGTTGAAAAAGATTTCCATGCACTAAAAAAACTATTTCTGAAACATTGCAAAAGTCTCTAGGTGACCATTTGCTGAACGGCTCAGGTCAGGCGAATCTTAGATTGTAAGCTCCAAGGAGCAGGGCCCTCCTAACCCTCTTGTATTGAACTGTATTGTTGCTGTATTGTCTCCCGTTATATTGTAAAGCGCTGAGCAAACTGTTGGCGCTATATAAATCCTGTATAATAATAATAATAATATATAAATCCTGTATAATAATAATAAAAACTATTGCCTAGAACCCAGGAAGCCGATCTCTCGTTGTCCATCATCGTCAGTGTGAGAGAGTTGTCTGTGGTCAGATTATGTCCCAAAAATGTTGAAATGTGGCAATTGGGGGGGATCATGGGGCCCCTGTGTCCTTGCCCAAACTCAAAAAAGCCTATGAAAAAGGTACCAGGGACATCTCATGGGGCCCCCTACTGACCCCGGGCCCTCAGGCAGTGCCCGAGTTTCCAAATGGTCACTCCGCCCCTGTCTACAGGTACCTGTTCATTAGAATAATTAGTAAGTTGTAGAATGTTTTACCCTTGGTTTATACCTATGCGTTTTTTTTGCAGAAATGCACTACAGTTTGCCCTCCAGAAGATTTACCCCCCTTCCTGACATTTTTTGTGTTAAGGCGCTGCGTTACTTTAACTGACAATTGCATGGTCATGCAACGCTGCACCCAATGAAATTTGTCTTTTTTTTTCCCACAAATTGAGCTTTATTTCAGTGGTATTTGATCACCTGTGCGGTTTTTGTTTTTTGTGCTATTAAAAAAAAAAAAAAAAAGACCGTCAGTTTTGAGAAAAAAAAGCCAATTTTTGACTTTTTGCTATTAAACATGTCCAGTAAAAAAAAAATTTAAAAATCAAATTTCGTCATAAATTTAGGCCAAAATATATTCTGCTACATGTCTTTGCTAAAAAAAAAATCCCAAAGCGTTTAAATGAATTGGTTTCCGTGAAAGTTATAGCATTTACAAGGGGCGGTATATATAATGGGATGTTTTTTTCCACTAGTAATTAGCGACTTATAGTGGGACCCCTTAGGTTCCACAGTGGAGCTCTGGAGGGGATATAAGGAGAGATAGACCCCTGGAAGTGAGATATCCATCCATATCCAGTACAGGGAGTCTCTTTTTGGAGAATCACCAGGTGGATTACCAATATATCACCAGGAGGAATCACCCGTAAAGGATTTTTGGAGCAGGAATAGTTACATCTGTCCTCCCAGGACAAAAAGCGATTTTAGCCTAAATTTATTGGGCTAAAAAGGAGGTGAGCGCATAATATATCAGTATTCATTGGTCTTTCACTCATTGGATGTCACAAGATTGTTCAATATATTGAGAGGACTACTCACCTAATATGGACATTTTTTGAGCTATAATTGTTTATTTGGTTTATTGGATTTTTATTGAATTATATATATATATATATTTTTTTTTTCTTTATCACAAATCATGTATTTCTTGGTTTAGATTAATAATCAGGTTTATTATTTGCATATGAATACTAGTCACAGATATATATAAGTTCATTTTGTATTCATTTTATGATCACATTATATCAAGGGTAAACATTAATAATAGCACGGGAGCGCAGCACTAATATTTGGATTGAGGTTTTTAACACTATTTATCAGTTAGTGTAAGGAGCTAGCGAACCACATGTGCAGGGATTTTTGATTGATTTATTTAAGCACTTTTTTTGATCATCACCATATTAGCTCACAAGTATCACCAGCACCTGATCAATGGAGAAAAGCCCCTTTTCATTGGTGGGCATTGGAAAAAAAAGCCATTTTTCATTGGTGGGCATTGGAAAATAAAGCCATTTTTCATTGGTGGGCATTGGAAAAAAAAAAGCCTGTTTTCATTGGCGGTCATTGGAGAAAAGCCCCTTTTCATTGGTGGCCAATGCATAAAATATATATAAACCCCACAGCAAATGTATTGTCCTGGGAATGGTATACCTGGCAGTGCCTGACTCTACATCAGGGAAATGCATCCAAAAAACATGTACAACAAAAACCACCACCAAAAAGGATATTGCACCTCATAGGCTAACAACGGCAGTATTTATTCGGGACATAAAAAATGTACTACAAACATATCAATGCATGTCCCCAAGCCCAATCCACCCCTTCACCCCCAATTGATCCCTCCACTTGAACCACCCGGATAGACCCCTACCTATCTCTAGGGCACCCAGACCCACCACCTACTCCTCCCTGCATTCCCCTGGTCCCCCTATCATAAGAAAGCTGGGCAATGTCTTCCATAGGATCCCTCTGGAGCAGTGCCAATACTGGTGTTGAATGGTAAAAGTCCATATAGATAATAATGCCCGGCTTATGTACACAGGTAATGAGAACGCAGCGAATGTCCTAATGTTAAATTGTACCAGATGTCACCCCGCTTGGGGAAGAAAAGGGAGGTGTGAGTAGTGGTGACCCCAGGTGCCCTAGAGTTGGTCTATCCAGGGGGAGGTAGATGTAGGGTTCAGCTGGAGGGATTGGTTGGGGAAGGGGTGGACTGGGCTTGGGGACATGCATTGATACGTTTGTAGTATATTTTTTTTACATCCAGAATAAATACTGCCGTTGTTAGCCTATGAGGTGAAATATCCTTTTTGGTGGTGTAGCTCCTTTTCATTGGTGGTCAATGGATAAAAGCCCCTCTTCATTGGTGGTCAATGGATAAAAGCCCCTCTTCATTGGTGGTCAATGGATACAAGCCCCCTTCATTGGTGGTCAATGGATAAAAGCCCTTTTTCATTGGTGGTCAATGGATAAAAGCCCCTTTTCATTGGTGGTCAATGGATAAAAGCCCCTTTTCATTGGTTGTCAATGGATAAAAGCCCCTCTTCATTGGTGGTCAATGGATAAAAGTCCCTTTTCATTGGTGGTCATTGGATAAAAGTGACTTTTCATTGGTGGTCATTGGAGAAAAGCAACTTTTCCTTGGTGGTCATTCAAGAAGAGCCCATTTTATTGGTGATCATTGGAGAAAATTCCTTTTTCATTGGTGGTCATTGGGAGAAAAGCCCCTTTACATTGGTGGTCATTGGGGAAAGGCCCCTTTACATTGGTGGTCATTGGGGAAAGGCCCCTTTACATTGGTGGTCATTGGGGAAAGGCCCCTTTACATTGGTGGTCATTGGGGAAAGGCCCCTTTACATTGGTGGTCAGTGTAGAAGTGACCCCTCCAATTGGATGTCATTGGGAAGTTGGCTGCTTACACTGGTGTCTGTACCTGGGACATGTGTAGAGTCCTCCTCCTGTGCCAGGGCCTTGGCTTCCACACAGCAGGAGGGTGGACCTGGTGGTGGGTAAGCAAGGGGTCATCAGCCTGAAACCAAGACAGATGGCTCCTGATGATGTCATAAAAGAAGATGGAGGTGAGGGATGTGGCGTGCAGCAGTGGTTCAGTGGATCACAGCAGGATAACCTTTTCTGACAACAAACCAGTGGACAAGACAAGAGGGCAATGAAAAAGAAAAATGTACATGAGCAGTGGAGTTCCTCTTTAAAGGACTCCTCTTACCCCTCTGCTGTACACCGGGTGCTGTGTCACTCTGCTCCTGCAGCCCCTGGGATGTGTCACCTGCACGTCCCAGGAAACTTCAGAAGGACACTTCATTCTCCTACTTCTTGGTTGAGGTGGATTAGGAAAAAAAAAAAGAGTACAATAAAAAAATGACTCTGGAGTTCTTCTTTAAAGTATAACTAAAGGTATTTGTCTTAGCTTTGGACAGAGGAAAGGGATTAGAACCCATCAGACCATTATCTCCCTCTGTGCCCCCGTTAGGGAAAGTCACCCGCTCTGTCTGCCCTGTTTACTGTTACCCCCACATGTGAAAGAAAATCCTAAATGTTGGGTTGTCCCCAGAACAGGGAGAGAGGGGAGATGTTCCAATGGGGACAACAGTTCCGGTGACCCCGGGATTTCCTCTCACTTCCTATTTTGGCCATGGGACTGGAAGTGAAGGGAAATCTCAGCAATGGGACACAGATGGCAAAACAAAAAAAGATGACCAGGGTTATAACTCCCTTAATATATCCAAAATGGAACAAAACGTTTCATCTAGAGTTCTACTTTAGCTCCAGGACTTCCATTCTCCTCTACTGCAGACACATTCCATACAGAGTGCAGCTTTACCCCCCAGCCTGCCTGTCCACTCCATGCAGCCCTTTCTCATTTTGCCTCCTCCATACAGCTTCGTCTTATCCTGCCTCCTCCATGCAGCCCCATCTCTCCCTGCCTCTTCCATACAGCCCTGTATCCCCCTGCCTCCTTCATGTAGCCATTTTATCCTGCCTCCCCCATGCAGACCCATTTCCCCCTGCCTCCTCCATACGGCCCTGTCTCCCCCTTCCTCCTCCATGCAGCCCTGTCTTCTCCATGGAGCTCTGTCTTATCCTGCCTCCTCTATGCAGCCCCCATCTTCCCCTGCCTCCTCCATGCAGCCCTGTCCCATCCATGCAGTCTCGTCTCCCCCTGCCTCCTCTATGCAGCCCCGTCTCATCCTGCCTCCTCCATGGAGCCCCGTCTCCCTCTTCCTCCTCCATGCAGTCCCGTCTTATCATGCCTCCTCCATGGAGCCCCGTCTCATCCTGCCTCCTCCATGCAGCCCTGTCTCCCTCTGCCTCCTCCATGCAGCCCCTCCCTCTCCCCAGCTTTCCCCAGGCTGCTGCAACTAAGGAAGGAATCAGTCTGTGTCAGCCGCAGGAGGCCCCGCCCTCCCCGCCTCCGCCAATCAGAGCGCGGCTTCCCGTAGCATAACGTCACCAGCGGCCGTGCCATTGGCCAGCTATATTAAGAAGGCAGCCTGAGCCTTTATATAGCCGGGGCGCAGCGTGGCCGGCAGTGAAGGATCCCGGAGAGTTGCGCTTGGGAGTTACGCTGTGTCTGGTATCGTAGCGGAGAGCCGGCCCCTCCTCCTTCCGTCACCATTAGAACCATAGGCAAGCTGAGGAAGCGCCGGGCGGCCGGCAGTAGCGGAGTGGCGATGGCAGCGATCCGGAAGAAGCTGGTGGTGGTCGGGGACGGGGCATGCGGGAAGACGTGCCTGCTGATCGTCTTCAGTAAGGACGAGTTCCCCGAGGTCTATGTGCCCACCGTGTTCGAGAACTACGTGGCCGACATCGAGGTGGACGGCAAGCAGGTGGAGCTGGCCCTGTGGGACACGGCGGGCCAGGAGGACTATGACCGCCTCCGGCCCCTCTCCTACCCGGACACCGACGTCATCCTCATGTGCTTCTCGGTGGACAGCCCGGACTCGCTGGAGAACATCCCGGAGAAGTGGGTGCCGGAGGTCAAACACTTCTGTCCCAACGTGCCCATCATCCTGGTGGCCAACAAGAAGGACCTGCGCAACGACGAGCACATCCGCAACGAACTGGCCCGCATGAAGCAGGAGCCCGTCCGCACCGACGATGGCCGCGCCATGGCCATCCGCATCTCCGCCTACGAGTACCTGGAGTGCTCCGCCAAGACCAAGGATGGCGTCAGGGAGGTGTTCGAGACTGCCACCAGGGCGGCGCTACAGAAGAGGCACGGCCCCAGCGGGGAGTGCATCAGTTGCTGCAAGCTGCTATGAGCCTCCCACCCCACCCTGTGTCTGATGGACTGGATGGTGCTAACGGGGCCCCTGAGTCTGGTGCTACCACCAGGGGCCACTCAGGAGCGGAGGTGAGAGGGCATCTGATGTGGTGGCGTCTTTATTCTGGTCACAGATCAGCTGGAGAACTGTAGTAATCCTGATGCACCAAACTTGGGGTGGTTTCGTCCATCCCAACACCCTTCTGCATTCATTCTGATGCTTGAGACCTTGGTGGTCACCTTGATCCATCCACCATGACCTAAGAACTGCATCATGAGATTGGGGTCTCCATCATAGGGTCATCTGAGGACTGCATCCATCTAGAGATTGAGGTATCTCGTCCTAGAGGTCACCCAGGCCCCCCCCCATTGTGTCACCTGATGGCTACACCTTTCCTGATGCTTGGGACATTACTACCTTGGCGCCCCCATTTGAGAGCTAAATTTGCCAGATTGAGGTGCCTCATCCTAGAGGCCCCCCAAGCCCCCCATTGTTTCACCTAAGTGCTGCATTCAGCAGTAGATTGGGGGATCTCCTAGAGCTCACCAAGTCTTGTCATCTGAGGGCCATTCATCTAAAGATTTGGGTGTCCCATTCTACAGGTCACCGAAGAACACTCCCACCCCCTTGTGGCACCTGAAGATGGCATTCATTCTGATGCTTTGGGCATTGGTGGTCACCTTGCCCCCCCCCCCCCCCCCCCCCCCCATCCTCCACTGTGACCTAAGAGCTGCATTCATCAGATTGGGGTTTCTCATCCTGAAGGTCATCCAAGCCCACTGTTGTGTGACCCAAGGACTGATTTCTTCCTGATGCACTAGACTTTACCATCATGGTACCTCCACTTTGTGACTTGAGACCTGTATTCATCTGGAGGTTGGGGTCTCTCATCTTAGAGGTCACCCAAGCCCCCCATTGTATCACTTGAAGACTAGACTTTTTCTGATGCTTGGGACATTACCACCTTTTGGTTCCCCCCCAATTTGAAAACTGCGTTCATAACATTAGGGTCTAAGCCCATCATGATTGGAGAACATTCATCAGGAGATTGGGGGATCACCCAAGCCCCCTTCTGTGAACCGAGGACTGCCAATGCTCAGGAGATTGGGGGGTCTCCCATCCTGGAGGTCACATCTTTCCCTCCCTCCATGACTGACTGCTGTTTACCCCACAATAGTGCTGCACCCTGTCAAGCAGTATTCCCCCTGTATAGATAGACTGAGCCTCTCTATTGTGCCAGGGGAGGGGGTCCACCCCTCTTTAGTGACCTGAATGACACTACCTTCTTATCCAGGGGACTCCCAAGGTCTTTGCATGTTATGTTTATAATTGTGGTGGTCCATCTTGAGATGGGGTAGCAATGCTTTGTGCCGTTGGCCCCTCTGTTGCTCGTGTCCCCAGTAGTGTGTTGCTGTGCAATGTGTTACTGGTTTGCTCACAAGCAACTGTCCTCTTCAGGGTTAACAGGGGCGGTCTCCTGAACTGTATATAGACTTGTACATATATAAATAAATAAATATTCTATTGAGCAGGCTTGGCGGCTTGCAGTGTATCTGTTCCTGTGGAACTACAAGTGGCAGGACACTTGGGACTTGTAGTTCACCAGTAATTGGCACACTGCTGTTTGCTAAAACCTGCTTAGGAGGGACCTCGGATTCTGCGCCCTTCTGTCTTTTGTAAGGAAGCCTGTGCTGAGAGAATATAGAAGCTGCCATTGCCCTCTGACAATGCTAGTTGCCTGGCCGTCATTCTGTTTTGAACTCTTCAATCCCGAGACTGATCAACAGCTGGGATGCACTTGGAGCTCTGACTTAGTGACTCAGAAAGTAATGTAGGGTGGCCAGCAATGTGCATTTTGAGATGTTTAGTGGCAACCGATGTTTCTCAGCATTGGTTTCCTTTACAGATCAGCCTGTTTTTTGCGACTAATTTTTTTTTTTTTTTTTTCCTCTTTGATTTTCATGTGAAAATATTTTTGCACTTTTCTTTTTCCTTCGACACTCAATGCACTTACCATCTGCATAGACACTGTAACTTTGTCAACACTTTCTTTGTATCCTCGGTTTAGGAAGAGGGTGTAAACCTGAAAAGAACCACTGTGTATAAATTTTTTTTTTTTTTACACCATTTTATTTTCTAGTACATGAATGTAACGTCACGGAGGAAAGTTACATGAATTGTAGCATTCCAAGTATTAATTAAATGGGACGTGTAGCTCTACAGTAATGCAAAAGCCCATAAAATGTGGGTGAAGGTAACTTATCAGATTTTTTACAGATTTTTTTTTTTGTTACAGAGGCAGATATTTAAATTTTTTTTGTTTTCTGACAGTGGTACTAAATTATGTTAAACCGAAAACAAAGGCTGACCGCTAGTAAAAAAGATAAATTTGGATATGTTTACATTAAATGTATTATGTGTATATACAGGTTTTTATGTGAAATATTAAATATCTTCTAAATATATTTCTGTGTTTTTTTTGTATTTCTTTATATATCTTTTTAAGTTGCTGTGTGGTTTTTTTTTTTTTTTTTTTTTTAAGGATACCTACATAAAGGTTTTAAATCTTAGTGGAGTGTTTTGTTTTACTCCATGTTTACATGCAAATCAAGTGCCGCAGGAGTGATGGTGTTGGGTTTGGACAATCTGTAGTGCTAGCAGGGGTGCTTACAACAGTCCAAATTTAAAAACTCCAGAGCTTAAAACGGAGTTCCAGTGAAAATTGAATATATTAAAAGTCAACAGCTACAAAAACTGTAGCTACTGCCTTTTTAAAAAAAAAAAAAAAAAAAAAAAAAAACACCTGTCCCTGGATCTGGCTGTGGTTGCCCTGTGTTCCTGGCATCTTCATTGTGGGCACCCGGCTGTGACAGCTTACACTTCACAGCCAGGTGCTCACTGTGTATGCACAAGTAGTGCTGTGCTTTGTGACTGGTCCCATAACTATGGGGGGAGGACAACTTCCGCTTCTGATTGCCTAGACCAGTGGTTCTTAACCTTGTTGGAGGTACTGAACCCCACCAGTTTCATATGCGCATTCACCGAACCCTTCTTAATTGGAAAAATAAAATATGATTTTTAAAATTCAAAACATAGGTATATATTTATACATAGGTGCACAAAATGAACAAAACCGTTAAGAACAAAACCATTAAAACATGATTTTCACACAAAAACTTTAATAATGAATATTTACTGCACGAATCATATGAGTTGGGTGTGGGTCTTCACCTCTGCCGAACCCACAAGACTGACTCACCGAACCCCTGGGGTTCGATCGAACCCAGGTTAAGAACCACTGGCCTAGACGATCACAATGGAAGTGGGAAAAGATAACTCAATTTTGGTGAGTGGGAGACCAGTCCTTAAAGCGGAACTTCTCCTTTTGGGTGGAGCCCAGCTTTAACTCCTGTCACTATTGCCTTTGCTGGACAGCTTGGTCTATGTGTAAAGGTGAAGAACACTTGTACAAGTAAAACATACAACTATTTAGCAGGGGGGTGATCTATATTTAATTTTTTTTAATGAAAATATTGTATTGCTTCTATTGAAAAATGATCAAGCAACTCCAGAAATCAATGACCTGCACCATGTGGTAAAATTAGCTTCTGCTCAGGTTCCAAGTGTTTTCCACGTATAAATATATATTCACGATTGCTAAAGAGGTATGATTGCATGTTAACCCTTAAAATTTATAGTAAACCTTTACTTGGAAAAAGCAGGGATTTTTCATTTTGCATATATATTATAATGCATGTTTAAACTGGCTATCTGCATAAGGGGCACTTAGGTACAGGATTTTATACCTAGGGAGGGGGCATTTGGGCACAAGCTTACATTACATACCTGGGGTGGAGGCATAGGGGTTTGTACTTGGGAAGGTACTTTTGTGCAAGCTTACATTCCTGGGTAAGGGGCACTTTGGTACAGGCTTATATACCTAGGGAGGGGGCACTTGGGCACAAGCTTACATACCTCAGGTGGAGGCATAGGGTTGCATATTTAGGGAGGTACTTTGGTGCGGGCTTACATACCTAGGTAAGGAGCACTTGGGTACAGGCTTACATACCTGGGGTGGAGGCATAGGGATATGTACTTGGGGAGGTACTTTGATGTGGGCTTACATACCTACTGTCGGTAAGAGGCACTTGGGTACAGGCTTTCATATCTAGGGAGGGGCACTTGGGTACAGGCTTACATACCTGGGGTGGAGGCATAGGGGTATGTACTTCGGGAGGTACTTTGGTGTGGGCTTGCATACCTGGGTAAGGGGCACTTGGGTACAGGCTTTCATACCTAGGGAGGGGGCACTTCGGTACAGGCTTACATACCTTGGGTGGAGGCATAGGGGTACATATTCAGGGAGGTAGTTTGGTGCGGGCCCACATACCTAGGTAAGGGGTACTAGCTTTCATATCTAGGGAGGGGCACTTGGGTACAGGCTTACATACCTGGGGTGGAGGCATAGGGGTACATATTCAGGGAGGTACTTTGGTGCGTGCCCACATACCTAGGTAAGGGTTACTTGGGTACAGGCTTTCATATTTAGGGAGGGGCACTTGGGTACAGTCTTACATACCTGGGGTGGAGGCATATGGGGTACTTACTTAGGGAGGTACTTTGGTGCCAGCTTACATACCTAGGTAAGTGTTACTTCGGTACAGGCTTTCATACCTAGGGAGGGGGCACTTTGGTACAGGCTTGCATACCTGGGGTGGAAGCATAGGCGTACATATTCAGGGAGGTACTTTGGTGCGGGCCCACATACCTAGGTAAGGGGTACATAGGTACAGGCTTTCATATCTAGGGAGGGGCACTTGGGTACAGGCTTACATACCTGGGGTGGAGGCATAGGGATACGTACTTGGGGAGGTACTTTGATGCAGGCTTACATACCTACTGTAGGTAAGGGGCACTTGGGTACAGGCTTTCATATCTAGGAAGGGGCACTTGGGTACAGACTTACATACCTGGGGTGGGGCATAGGGGTACGTATT